AAAATAAAACTGCAAAAAGCTTGCAAAAGATGCAGATTTTCATGAAGTCTGTGAATGTCATGTTGGAGAACTGCTAATACAAAGCTACTGGCAAGCGAGGCTCTGCCTGTTAGAATAGTTTGTTTAAGAAGAGAAAACTAACAAGGCTGATGATAGGCAGTCTCTTCAAAACAAAATGTTTGAACCATCAAGTGAATAATAGAGACTTTGGGGCAATTACAAATCCCTTGAATTAAAAAAATATATATTTACATGGTGTGAAAAGCAAATTAATTTTAAAGGATACATTAAAAAATCTTGTTCCACCCTATTCCCCATCCTCCCCACCTCCATGTCTTTCCTTGTCTATCTGTCACCACTTCAGTATTTCTTGTATATCTTTCCTGGGTTTCTTTATGCAAATATAACCAAGTATGTATATACACTCGATCTCCTCTCTTTTCCACTACCTATACAAGGTAGCATACTGTTTACAGTCATTTTTGCCACACATTTTTTACATAACAATATATCCTGGAGAATCTTCCCTATCAGAACATAGTGAGCTTCCTCATTGTTTTTGTTATGGTTGTGGCAGGCAAAGATGTCCACATCCTAATCTCTGGACTCTTACTGTGTTACGTTGTATGGCAAAGGGGAATTAAGGTAGTAAATGGAACTGAGGGCACTAATCAGCTCACCTTAAAATAGACTATCCTGGGTTATCCTTGGGCCCCAATAGTCCTTAAAAGTAGAAGAAGGAGGCAAAAGAGAAGGTTAGAGTGATGTGATTTAAGAACACTCGACTGACCATTGTTGGTTTGAAGGTAAAGAAGAGGCCACATGCCAAGGAATGTGGAAAGCTTCTAGGAGTTGGAAAGTCAAGGAAGTTGATTTTCCCCTAGAGCCTCCAAAAGGGAGTTCAGTCCTGCTGACACCTTCATTTTAGCGCAGTGAAACCCATGTCAGACCTCTGACCTCCAGAACTGTAAGATAATAAACGTGTGTTGCTTTAATTTGCTACAACAGCAATAGAAAACTAATATAGTATTCTTTGTGTAGATGTTCCATAGTATCTAGTCCCTTACTGGTGGACACTTAGGTTATTTCTGATGTTTTGGAATTACATAGTTCTCATTGCCAATAAATGACAGAATTAGGACATAAATTAAGATCTCTTGCCTCTAAATCCACAACTCTTCCATTATTTTATGTCACCTCCCATAATGACTTTACTCATTTTCTTAGCACTTACTGTGCTATTTTATGCCAAGCACCATACATAGTAGGCTCCAGAGTCCAGCAGCAACTTTTAACATGTGTGTGAATAAAAGCACTCAAGGGTTAATTTTATTAGATCCTTTTAGAACATGTTCTGGGTATTCTGCTCTATATTTTCATCATTGCATACATAGAAAGGCTGCACACTATAGAACACCCACTGAATTGAGCCCTTGAATGTGATTTAAATCCCAATTTTGACCTTGATAAGCCATTTCACCACTGTTGGCCTCAGTTTCTTCTTCTATAATACAGCCTAAAATGGACTACGTGATCTTTGGGAAAACCATTTCAGCTCTATGTATGATTAAAAATAATTTCTTTGGTATTTCCATTAGAAGGACAGAGTATACACACCTCCGTCTTACAGGTGGAACAGCTAAGACCCAGAATGACTATGAGTTTTGGTTTTTATTTGTGTCATGGGTTGGGTGGGGGGAGGTGTGCCAGTCTTCTTTCTCCACCCCAGAATTGCTCTAGGGATAGATTTCACCTTGGACTTGAGCTTTATTCGATGTCAGTAATTTTCTTCGTATTTACTGACAGGGACAGATGTACACATGTGAGCATGTGACCACCTGCCTC